CAAGAAGACAGTCATCTTTATAGATTTCCACGTATACCAGATGCGCTGTCCAGTTTTATATCTCGGTGAATAAAGTTCAATCTTTTTGAGTGTAGGTCTATATCACATCTGCAGGGTTTTCAGTAGATTAGGAGGTAAGTGGATTATTAGCGCATGCTGTTGGTATGTTCTGGTTTATCTCAAGAGAGTAAGGAAATAGGGAAGAACTCGTATTTCCTCTAAACCAGCGATTCTGTGCTTATGAAAATATTATCCAGACTTCTTCTTGATTCATATCTAAACCTTCCCTTTATATCTTCACGAAACCCTGTTGTTGCTCAGTGCTATTAAGTTTACAGCTATAAATATTGCAGACTACTTTATATTCATTTTATTATAAATGCTTCTAAATCAACTGTAAAATTTATGTAGCATTAAATATGAGATAATACGAAGAATATAAACCATTCGCGGTCTAAGGAAAGCATTGTCTTAGAACGTTGTAGCATTGAATTTTATTTAGAATTTCCATGAGGCATCTGTGTGTGTACAGTCAACGTTGTTCTGCGAACGTATGGACTTTGCTGGGGCCTGATTCTTCATAAAAGCAGACCTCAAGGTTTCAAACAATAATTATAATTATTGTTTAAAGCCTTTAGGTACACGCACGTACGTTCTTGAGGAATTTATTTCCAGATACGAGAAATGTGTGCAATATTAGCATATTGGCATATGTTTCGTACGTCCTTGTTTGAATGGAGAATGATAATACACTGTAAAAAACTAACCAACTTGACAGAGACAGAAGTAAACAAAGTATGTAGACATAGTGCTGGAAGACCCATTATATTTTTAATTAGTTTTAACGTGGAAGAAATCTCATTGCTGGACCTCGCAAGCTTTCGACTGGTGTTGGGTTCAGGTTTGAAACCCATTCCCTGAAAAAGAAGAATAACACTAAGAATGTTGAGGGCTATTGGACTATGAAGTTGGTGTTTTAACTCGGACTAAATTGTGAATTCTTGGAGGTTTAACTCCTGAAGAAAATTTACTTAAAAATTTCAGTGATTCCTTGTAAATCTTTTACTTTTGTTTAATCCTTTAAATAAAATCTCCCTTATTATTGAGTGATTTGTAATAGTTGTTATGTTACTCGGAAATCATGTTAGATATTTCCCATTCTCAAAGGTGTATTTAATACATAAGACGTTTCGGTATTTTGCTCTACTCATATCTTAAGTTGATTGTCATATTGAAACTTTTCTTTCAAATTTCAGTATTGGAGTTCAGATTATTCTGTGTTTTTTTACATTACTATGATTATTAGATTGATGGGTTCATTCCTTGACGGTGCCATTAATATCGAAAATAAAGAGAATATCGACTTACAAATATTCTGTCCTAATTGATGTACATGTTTCTTTGAAATATGGTTGGTTAACGAGCTCCAAATGTGGTAATAGTAATACCTGTACAATAATTTAATTAATGACACAGTCATCTGTAAAAGTTTCTGTTAATAAAGTTTTATAGAATCGTCAACACAGACATATGACATGTGTTGACGGAATCTACAAAACGTTAGTGACTAATATAAAAAGCAGGATGCTACTTTATATCATTGAAAAATATTTCTGTGTTTGACTTAATCTTGTCCGGAGTAAAATAAACACGTATAACTACACTAAAATCTTTTTAAAATATCTTCTCACGCACTTCAAGTGTACAAGAACTGTATTTTTTGTAACAGTAAAATGTGACTTTAGTATTTCTCCTCGTGATGTTACGTATTATTATGAAAATTTCCTCTTTATAACATTTTATTATGCATTTTGAGCCCAGTGGAATATATATTTACCAACAGTTTCTGACAGTCTAAATTTTGAATTTGTGGGTTGAGTACGATCCTCCTCAAAACAGCGATAATTTTCTTAAACAGTGTTAACCAGTTTATCTTGTAATGATAAATAATTTTCTTTTTATTATGTAGGCTGAATTAATAGGCATTATTTAGACGGATTCATAGGTTTAACGCTGTTACACCTCTTTCTATCTGAACAACATAATTTCCCTGAAACATTTGAAACTTCGTTAGATTTTAAATTCTAGTGACGCCGATTATGTAGATGTCATTTGCGATGTTGCACCTTGTAGTTTGAGGGTCGTTTAACGACGTTTCCGAGATCCTTGCTGCCTCCATAATCACATTGACGTCTTAGAAATGTCCTGTTAGTTCGCTATGCAAGTCTGTCTGTTAACATGTATTATCTGGTACTTATTTTATTATCATAACCAAAATATAGCTGTAATTAAAATAAATATCTTTATAAACATAGCCCTATTAATAAGTACTGTGCTGTACGATTAGATATAGAATTTTCTCGTTACCAAGATGATGGAGGTAGTAATATCTCTGAAACGTCGGTAAAAATCTACCATACTACACGGCAAAATATCCAATAATACAGTTATATTAATAATCTCCGCCGTGAAAACCTGAAATCTCACATAAAATTTGCCTAGACCATGTAGACAGCACATCTCGACCTAATTTGCCACAACCAAATTTAATATACTGAAGAATTTATCTGTCCGTAAGTATCAATAAATGAATTGACCGTTGCTAAATTTATGATTAATAAATTTGCCGCTCCTGCAATTATTTTAAAATAGGGATTTCAAGACGTTTCAAACATAGGCTGTACAGAAATTAACTAGAAACTGATTTCATGGCGAGTATGCACAAAGTCAGACATCCCAAGACTGGAGAAAAACTTGATAACATCATAAACATTGTTACTTTATGTTTTCCATATACGTTTTGAAAATATTTAGTGGGTCCAAGCTGGGTTATGTTTTAATACAGGCTACAAAACGTTTTCGATGAACGGGTAGGCTGTTTTCAGCACCAGTCGCAAACAGAACTTCCAACCCATGTATCGAGTTAGGTGTCATGATTTAACACATCAACGTAATTTCAGAACCGACACCTCTGAGGCTCTCGAAACAACAGACTTCTTCATCAAAGTCTTAATAGCATTATGATATAGGCCTATTCTGGCACAATTTCCCATGAATTATCCAGTAAACTAATACGCGCAGGCAACTAACGCTATGAGTAGTTCATTTTTTATTCCTGCCCCATAACTAGTTATTGAAGCGATTTTCCATTCCAACGACCAGAAATCAATCAGTCATCCTATTATTGGTGCTTCCGTCGGTCCCACTGCAGTTTCCATTCAAATCAACAATACAACAATTTCTTTCAGTTCTTATTTTGAAATTACATGTTTGCCATATGTGGTTTTGAATTCTTTCTGTCCCCTTTTGCAGAATTGTCCGTTGGAATCAATACAAGGGCTAGCTTTGTGTGTACATATGGGCGGTCTCTAGCTTCGCTTGGTTTCGAACCGCGGACTCTGAAGGGGAGGGACATTGCAATGGCCGACCCTTCAAACTACAGTTATAGGCGTGGCTTCGTTCACCCTCATTAACATGACAACAGTGTATTAGTGCAGATATGATAATAAGGGAGAAGCATTAGTTTGATGGAATCTGTACATTCGCACAACTGATAATGTGAAGGTAAAAATACATAAAAATTATGCACGTTCTCTGTGACGCATCGATCTGAAATATAAAAATATCCTCAACACGCATTAACATTGTGTACTTGGCAAAATCAATACTTTCCAATGCAGAGTGTAAAACGTAGATGTAATACACAACTGATCCACTACCTCTGGCACTAAACTGTCGATAAACGTTAGATCTGATGTTCCTCGTAGAAATCCCTTCTGATGACATTCTGGAAGTGTAAACCCACAGAGTCTCTGAAAGCATTTGAAAATGTACCATGTGCATACACACTTTTGGGAAGTAGACGTCTAGGATATAAGTTAAAGTTAATTCTATGCTTAAGCTCCGTGTCCTGAAGTATGGATGCGAAAGAGGGGGAAGTGGATGTAATGTTCCAGTAATTCTTAACGTCAGCACTAGATGGTACTGTGTGGTCACGTCGTGCACTGACTACTTAAACATAGAGACATTTTCCTGCAACCTTGAATTAACAGGTCACAATAGACTTACCTAATGAGTGAGTCAGTTAATGTACACGACACAATTGAAGGGCTTAGTACCATAACATTGTAATATGAGCATAATTTTATAATTTCAAGAACAATTTATTTGCAAATTACTGTATCATATATCAGAAAGGTAGTTTTACAAATACTTCCAATTTTAAAACACAGGCAACTTTGTAAAATTTCGTTATGAATATCATGGCTTAGGTTATTAAATAACTCTTTTAAAATAACACACATACATTCTTCATTAACACTTTGAAGAAGAAACGTGTATAAATAATATATAAGTATTTAGTTCCTACCGCAAAGAAAACACAACATTTCACCATTACAAAGATCAACTGATTAATGTTTAAGGAAATATTTCTTGTTTACACTGAGAATCTTACGACACCCATAAATACAAAATGGACAGTTACTGATTGTTAAAGTAGTTGGTACTTATAGTTACCACTCGAATTTAAATTGTTAAGAAATTAGTCATTTTCGCAATACAAGCATTTTATATAATTTTTATTATTAGTGTTCTGTCTGACGACAGGTCCATATGAACAGGATCCTTCCATCCTTTTCTCGGACTGGGACCTGTTCATATACGTTCTTGGCAGATGATCCAGAAGTGCTTTGCCATTGCCTTCTTCTGTGTGTAAATGGAGTAATTGTTGGGATGCCACAGAGATACCGGGGAAGCCCCCGGAGGAAAACTCCGTGATGCCTAGACCACTGCCTTGCCCAACACAAGTTATAAATTCGGGCACAGCCGGGAATCGAACCCGAGACCCCAGGATTATATATTTTTGAAGAAACTCCAGTTTGTGCACGACAGTGCAGTAAAGATAGAATATTAATGTTTTGTTTTCTGTTGGTGCAGGAATTAGAATGTAAATTTATTTTCTATTTCCTCTGTAACGTAAGCTTTCTTGCTTTCAACAGGCAGAAAATAGATTAGTCACTGCCACGAGTAGCAGCGTCTTCACTCCAAATCCACACAGATGCCACACCATCAGTACAGAAGTGGACTCCCAGATTGTAAGTCCACAATTTTCTCTGTTAGAAGGAAATTTTAGTGCTCAACACTGGAGCGAGTAATGCATGAAAATCTAACACCAGTACACACGTGTCGCTGTCTGGCCTATTTTTAAATTGTTTTGTTTTATCTGAAAAAGTTATATAGCCTGTCTGAATCTGACTTTGGAATCCAAACTTCAAAGGAAATGCCGCTTACATTTAATAAGTCGACCGAATCATATAATATTTGTTAGGAATTACCGCGGTGGGCTTTGAAACAAATGTTAAATTTATTGTTAAATACAGAGACAAATTTGTGAAGTTAAGGTGGCTCAACACTGTTACGCTTAGACTTTTAAATATAGTCGACAAAATTCATTTACACTTCTTACAAAATAAAGAACAATTTATTAGAATTATACAACTTGTTATAAGGAGTAATGCATAATGATATATTAAGTAATTTATCACCTCCATTTTTATAATTATGGAGGCGTTACATTTCTCCGAAGGTTTGGTGACACCCTACAATACTACGTGGCCACAGAACCCAGGAATAAATGTCAACATTTCCAACATCGTGAGGAGCTCAGATTTCATATATTGTATAACACTGTTATCCTAAGTGTTTAAAGTATGATATATGTTCTAGAAACATAACTTCTGAACTGACAGCGTACTTTAGTTTAAAACACACTTACTTTGGTTTGTCCTCTGACATGATTATTATAATTTTGTTACAGTCTATAAAATTTGAATTATATTTTAATTTAATTTCATAAATATAACTGTGTTTCAAAGTCAAATAGGCCTATATATATTTAGTATTTATTTAGTATCTTATGAACCAAGCTAAAAATTTTCCAGTAACACTAGTGGATGTTAATCTTTACTTCTGGCAGAAGAGACAGCAGACTTATACATTTTAACATTTAGACAATGCCCACAGCTGCGGCTACTATAGATTATAAACATTTATTCTACATCTTTATTCCTTAAAAGACATAAATTAGCATCACGATATTATCTTTTTGCAAATAAAATGTTCTGTTTCGTTGTAATAAATGTTTACGAATCCAGACATCAAAGTCTGAATCTGCAGCTGTCCAGAACAGGCAAAGTAAGGGGTGGGGGAGAAATTATGAGTACGAAAAGTTTACACTATGCACAAATTGTGTATGTGATGACCTTTCTGTATGCTCGTAGACATCTTATGACATTCTCGTAGACAAGTATGCTATATTGCTGTGCTATTCAGAACACGCCAAGAATGGCCTGATAATTTTCAGTTAATGCTTGAATCATGGATGAACCGATACGAAAGCTGTGTAAAGTTTATATCATATTTTACTTCGTGATTTATAAAATAAATCAAATGACTTGAACGAATAGGTTGAAATTAAATAATCAATAGTCTCAGTATTACATTGTTATTTATCATATAAGTTTAGAGTAGAACTGGGGAAGATGCCTAACGTTTTGCTTTGAAGCGTCATATATGGTAGAATTTTAGAAATTGTTTTCTGTTATAAATGTGATGTGTATTGACAAATATTTTGAAGTTACAACCCAGCTTACACGACCAAAAAATAATTTATTTGTGACTTGTCATCCTTTTTTTGTAGGTTGACATTACATGATTTCTAAATTTAAGAAAGTTTTGAGCAACAAGGAATTATTCACAACTTTTATATGAGTGTGATATTTATTTTGTGCTCATATTCGGCGTGTTGTGTATATAAACTAGTTCTGTGTTTTTGGTACCGTTTCTTTTATTTTAAAATGTCACTGACATAAATATTACTTTCTGAAATTTCCACATGTATTTTTATTCTAAAAACATAAATTATTATTACCATTATAATGATGGCGATAATAATCATTTCCATCACTAACCGTTGAGTGAGGTAGTTAAGAAGTTCTCGTGGTCCGGTGTCTGAGTGGTGTTTCGCTGTGACACCCAATTTGCTCGGACAATGTGAGGTTCGGTGACGAGAGCAGTATCTGCTTTACGCGACGAGCCATTCTGATATAAGGCGGCTCGCAGTTGGGATTCAAACAGCAGTAAACACGAAATATTATAAACGGGCATAGTGAAAACAGACGGAGCTAGGAAGTAACTATTAGAACAGATCCTAACGAAAATGTGCTGCGAAAATTTTACAGAATTCCACCGGTTCGATGCTAAAATTTGTAAAGAAACTTTGGGTTCTATAAAAATCGAGAATATATCTTATTATTTGAATAAACTTTATGCTGCTCTGTTTGTTTCGTGTTTCACGAAATGAAATAAGAAATTTTTTATCTAAATATCTACCGAAATCTGACTACAGGATATAAGAAATGCACACAGTATTTAGATCGGAAAATATTGAGAAAGGGGGAAACGTCTAGATATGAAACCGTTCTTAAAATTAATCTTACAATAATAGGTTTCGAAATTGTGGGTTGGATTTTAGTAGATCAGGATAGGTTTCAGTGATGGACTTTAATGAACACTGCAATACAATTTTGGTTTAATATTTGTCACGGAATTTTATGTCTACCTGAAAATTTTTAGTTATCACGGAGGACACTGTCGATGGAGTTAGTTTCATATAACTTTTGTAATGTTTGTGTTAATGATAGGAAAAATTCTTGAGTAGCAAAGTAACTAGGATAATAGGCTTTAAGGACGAAAGGAAGGCAAACCTGATCAGAAGCGTCTCCAATTTAATGTTCTGCAGAGAGAGATTTTGTTGGTTTCTTGAACACCCAACTCTTAACTCCGTATTATTTATAAATAAATGTAAATGACGAAGTCAATTTCTTTTAGTTCACAGCAGTCTTGCAATGAAATATACATTTCATAATTCTTAGTGATTTTATAAACGGGCTGGCAGGCCTTATTCCCTGGCAGTAAAAAGAGAATACTCTATTACATACAGTGAATAATTCACAGTGAAATATTTTACGACTTTAACAGTAATTAAAAGTCGCATTATAAGTACGAAAGCACACATGGACATTTTGGATTAGTTTGTTGAGTACTTGACAAATTTAACTCAAGTCTCTTTGAGTACTAAGCTACTGTGGTAGTACTACTATTTGTATTAACTTTGCACGCCGAAAGAAATATGAGTTTCATGTAAGTATTTGTTACAAAAGTAATATAATTTTGTACTTGTAATTACATCAGTTATTAGGAAACGCCAATATCAGAATTTTAAGAGCAGAGAAAAGCGATTTAAAGTTTCGTAAGCTTAAGCAGACTTAAATCCGTAATGAACTGAATTTACAACACCCGACCATGAATAATTTTGATTTAAGGTGGATAATGTGATCGTTAAGAAATGACAAAAGTGATTAGCAGCTTCGTGTCAAAGAAGCTGCCCTCTTCCAGTCCTCAAGTTTTTCAAATATTTATGCGTCATTTAGAGGAAAAACAGTCATATGGAGAAACTCACATCTCTGATGTGTTGAATGACCCAAAAGGAAATTCTGTATAGATTTGTGACGATAGTTGATTAGTTATTCAACAATTGTAATAGGCATTGTTCATTATATGAGTATTTTTTTCTGAATCTCTTCAATGTAGTGGCACTAAAATTTAAACTAGATTAATAAATCACTCCACATAAAATCGCTTACTAAATTGCACTGTTTTGTGTATATATTTATATGCATGTTATTTATTATTTTATTATTTACATTTAATTATGTTTGCCATTTTTATAGGGAATATTTGCAAAAATACAATTTCAAGTTTTTTTGTTTTTGTTTTTATGTGTGGAATTTTGCCTCTCATCCTGAGGGAGTGGTATATAGATGGAGGATGTCTGAGAACAGGATGATAGGAGGGTAATACTTGTGTACTTAAGAGGAAGGAGGAGAAACATAATTTATAATATTTACGGAACGAAATATATTAAAGTGATTAAATAAAAGAGATGAAGATGAGAAACGTATATAGGGCTAAAATCATATTCCATTTTGTTATGTAATAAAGTTTTCTCTTAATGCACATATAATAATGTATGGTAACACATCAGTACATCAAATTTTCTATTCTGTAAACATAGAATTTACACATGAGAAACACAGTACTTCTTTTTCTGTTGTTCTAAACAGTCATATAAACGAAAAATAAATCATATTCGACGTTAACCCATCGAAGACAAAATTTATTTAAATAATATTTAAAAATTAATTTATGCGTCCCATTACAAAAATGGATTGGCTAATGCTGTTTTAGGAAATAATATCTGCTTCTTCTGAGAATCATACAGGACCTATAAATACGCTTTGTGGAAAAAATGCAAAGTTACTGGATGTTAAAGGAGTTGGTACATACGTACAGTTAGAATTGGTTTGAAATGGTTAATCCATTCCAAAAGTAAAAATTGCGTTGTTTAATGTTCAAAGTCTGTGCAAATGGAAAGATAAGTACGAACCAATGGCAGGGAAGAAAGAAGAAACAAAAAAGGATATAGATAAATGAGGCAATCATCGGATTTGATAACCAGCTCTTGTCTGATGACGTAAGCAACAGTTTCTGTTCGGGGCTCTCTTCCGTTGAAGAGACATTTTGTTCGCCTTTCTCTACACGTGTGTGCGGATGAGATGTTCCGTCCCACTCCCCACAACTTCCCGCCAGCCTCGTGTTTTATCTAAACAGCAAGCTCAACATCTCCTTAACAAAAGACAACCCCCTCCTTCTTAAAATTCAACGACCATACTTCCTTGTCCTTTTTATTTCCCCAAAAAGGACCTTTTTGCTTACTGGAAAACACCGCCTGAAATCTTAATCACCTCCATGTTGACAACAATGCAACAGAAACTTGTAGACAACTTTAATCCCATTGTTGAGCGCCAGCTATTGTATTAATAGTTGGTTGCACGCACTCTGCTGGCGCCACATGTAATAATGATCTTCTGCTGTAATGGAACATTTTATTGAATTAATTATTTATTTATGAATTATTTAACGACCGTGTCACTATTCAAGGCTATATAGCGTCGAATAATAAAATGATTAATTAAAGAAAGCGGTCATGGCCTAATTTAAGTTACTCTTCCAATGGCTTCCTGGAAGAATTCTGAGAAAGACGAAAGATTTCTGAACCCAGGACTTCCCGAATAAGAAGCGGTCGGTACTCTTCTTGAAGGGCAGAATCAGGATCTGTCTTACTGCAAACATTTAGTAGAATTTCTCATCCTATCCTATAAACTGATCAAAATGGTCACAATATTATCATTTCATCGGTCAGGTTGATGATTCATAACAATTATTCGGCCGTATCCAGTGAAGGTAGAATGTGTTTCAAGCCTTTCTTTGGCCGTTTAAAACACACTGGAATTTTTCTCTTGCTGTAGCATTAAGAATCTGCAGTTCTGTCCGAAGACTGTGTTTCTGGGCGTCTTATGATTCTAAGAACAAACAGCGATCATTTCCTTAAGCAGCATTAACCAACTGATGTTTGTAAAGGTGAGGTGTTGTATTTTATTTGCAGTACGGACTGAATATTTTAAATATTATTACATGAATTACGTGTCTCTAAACGTTAAGACTCGATTTAATATTATCCTCTCATCTTTCAGGATTGCTTTACAGGACTTGTTACACAGTGCAGGAGACAGAATTAAACAAATTCCTCTTTCAGCGATTAGGCTGATGTACGTTCTTTATGGCACAATAACACAAGTATTTGTAATAATTATTCCTCCGCAAACAAAATAAAGTGCCTACTGTCTGCCACTAGGTCTCCTTCCTTTAACCACTTTCTGTTATACTTTGCTGCGTTGTCTCTACTCCATTTCATCCCTATTATTGTGTTGGGAGCTTCCATTGTTCTAAAACTGTCTCCTCACGACAAAGATAAACGATTTCTCCTCTTAAGTTATTTTGTGTTCGTTCGTTTGTTTGTCTGTTTGTGGAGAATGTGTGGGAAGCATCGTTCTCTTTGTGGTAAATTGTTGATCTGCGCGCGAGGAAAAGTGTAACTAGTACACGCGTCTCGTTATTCCTTTGTTCAAGATGGCATGAAAATTTTCTAACTGTTCATAAATACTGGCTAAAATGTGCACAATTGTATCTTATTCTATTAAAAGGCAGTAAGGATATTTGTCCACAAAATTGCAAAGAAAATCTATACACGATTTACATTCAAGAGTCTAGTAACCAAAATACAGGTAAAAATAATTAAAACAATTAACTAGCCGCATCGTGCAGAGCTCCCACGACGAATGTGGTCCAACCTAGGATTGTGTTCAGCCAGAAGGTTCACTGCCGTCTTTACTAAAACCAGCTGTTGGACCATATTCTGAGCAAGTTAAACCCACTCAACAGCTTCAGGTCCTGCGATTGTTAGATTGTCAAGAAGGACCCTGCTTTAAGGAGTTAGTTATTTGTCAGGTAAATCAAAGATGGTAAAACGGAAGTTCATGACCATCCACGGGGAAATGAGAAATATACAGAGAATTTAAGCTCGGAAATCCCAATGAAATAGTATACTTGGAAGATCCATTAGGTAAATTGTTATTTATTTAATTTAATAGTATTTTGTTATCATTAAAACCCCTAATAAAATATGAAAGTCAGATATTTTGAAGTGAAAAATTTCGGTTACTAGTTTGTTAGAGTCTTAAATAAACCAAGTAGAAAAGAAAAGAAAATATGTAATTTCTTAGTGACCTGGTACTGTTGCCATGTTGTCGCAGACGGTGATGTCTTTTAGTTTGTTATTGCACCCAAGCAGTGCTTGTAAAATTCATACATTTACGCAACATACTCACTCCCCCCCCAACACTGTAGACTCCCACATGCATTGCTTGTATGCAAATTTTGTTAACATCCTTTCTGCATCTTTCCGGACACACTCCAGTTCTGTGTGCTAGGATGGCAAAGAAACGCATATCCAGAGCACTCTTGTTACTAAGCTGCAATGAATCTTACAATTCCTGCAGTTATGAACGTTAGAGATACGCACATGTCCTAAAACAACCTGCAAATTAACGCACAAAAATGAACAATTTCCAGGTATACATTTCTTCTAAAAAATACATTTTATTTATAGGTTTCTACGGGGGTGATGACAATTATGCTGTTCTTCTGGGTTTTTGAACCGTGTAAACTCGTTGGCAGATACCAGAGTTTCTAAGACACGCATTGTCTCCATCTTCAGGGCTGAAGACGGAAACTGAAAAGCTCAGCATCGTAGATTTTGATTTGGTTTACGAAACCAGGAAATTAATTAGGTCATATAAGATATTAGTTACTTCCCTTAACTTTTTCATTTTATAGTCTCTTTAGCAATAATTTATTTTACGATGTCAGCAGAATAAAATAGGCTAATGACATTTCTTTTGCAAGACTTTATTCGAGTATAAGCGCTAACGTTTAGTGAACATTATTCGCTGCATGTTAACAATAAAAATATGAGCAATAGCTGAATCCATGGGCTATTTAATTAATAAGCCACTCTCTTGAAAATGCAGGTAACATCTTCAGGGTTTCCTCAAAAGTAGAGCGCAGATCGATTTTGGGTTACGAAGTGGACGAGATCCACTTAGCGTAATCGCTTACAGTTGCTTTTATGAAATGAAAATTTTCGTAACATTCCAATACAAGTAGAACACACAACATATGTTATTCGAGGTGAACAGTAATTAATATTTCGTCGCTTCTTATTTGATAGGTCTCTGATCTTAAAATATTCAACATTTTACTTCGTTTTTAATCCGTAATTCATAATTATCTTATCATTTGAAGCTGACAGTATCGCAGATGATTACCCTGATGGTGGAAGGAGCAAGAAGCCCTAAAACGTCGGTAAACAACCAGAAGACAGCCATCTTCGGACACACCGCTGTGAGAACCCGAAATCTCACATAGAGACAGTAAACATATTTCTCCGAAACGTTGATATCTACCTATGGGTCTGCATGGCGTCAAAGACCAGAACATCGTCGTCGTTTGACACGTGCTGATCGTTTACAGAGTCTCTGTATTCGAGGTCTTGAAATTTCTGTCATTTAAAATTTTAACCCGTAGCCCCAAATTAATTTTAATGAATCCTCGCGCAGAAAGAATAGAATGAAAACAACTGTCAGTTTGCATGTTTCAACTCTGAAACTACTCAACGGATTTCTATAAAATTTTATTTTTTGAATCTATGCTAAACATTTTCAGGTATATTTAATATTAGTTGCATATAAAATCTTAACTCGAATATAACTGTATATAGTGTTTTAAAAACTTGCCCGTCATACAAATAATATAACAGACGCATGATATGTATGGACCCTGCTGAGATTTACAACTTCCATTTGCAACATTTATCGCTGAAGTGAATACATAATTCAAGAGAGAGAGAGTAATTTATATGACGGAAATAGATTTGTATCTGAAACCTAATAGAACTGATTGTTGGAATTTATTTTATATCTATTGTTTGGGCAAGGCCGTGCCTTTGCTCAAGCGGCTAGACGCTGGCTTCTCATCGCTGAGACCCGGCTTCAGTCCCGAGTGACTTCAAGTGAGATTTGTGGTGGACCAAGTGGCATTGGAGCATATTTCCGATTTATTTAAAATTTTCAGTTAATTATCATTCCACAATTGATCCATACCATGTTGGTATTATTGGTGTCCATTATATTCATAGCAAGTCTGATGAAATTCCATCAATCATTTCAGAACTTATTAAGGGTAATTTGACAGGCAAACAGACGAATTGTTATGATGAACCCATGCGTCTATATTTCTTTATAAAATCATAAAAGTAGGTTAGAAATTGTATTGAAGGACAGTTTTAGAGAAGAATATCAGTGTAATCTTTGTGAAGCTCTTCTTTACAAGCCGAAAGCACACAGAATTGACCTTAAGGTCATTCATTGTTTAGATGTCTGTGAATTCCGAAAAGGCCTATATGTGTAACGAACGAACTCCGATTACTTGTTTCTTCAGGTTCCGACAGCTGTTCAGTTTCGAAGTCAGAGCTGTCGACTGCTGCTGCAAGGTAGGCTATCCTCAGATTTACATGGCTTCTTCTCAAGACTTTCGTTTTCACACACGAAATAGGAAAATATACATTTTTAAATGATCTTATTCATAAAATCAAAGACTTTTTTATGGCTTGTAGAAGTTAAGACCACTCAGATGTTATATTCTCTCCGTGCTTTTATACGGCGCTGAATCGTGAACGTTGACAGAAAATTCTTCAAAAAAGTTGGAGGCCCTCGAAATGTGGTTGTACCGACGTATTCTCACAATTTCCTGGACTGACCGTGTAACCAACGAAAATTCTCGAGAAACTCCGAAAAGACGTCGAGGTTGTTAACACCATAAAAAAGAGGAAGTTGAAATATTTCGGTCATATCATGAGAAATAGTGATAAATACGGGCTGCTTCAGCTGATAATCCAGGGAAAAATATTGGGAGGGAGGGGACCTGGCAGGCCAAGGACCTCCTGGCTTCAGAACCTTAAAACTTGGTTCTCGGTGTCCACTGGAGGGCTGTTTCAAGCAGCAGTCAGTAAAGTTCAAATTGCTATGCTGATCGCCATCATCCGGGGACGGATAGGCACTTTAAGAAAAAGACCAAGATTCATCTCTCGATGTGTGACACTACACATAGAAATAATCTCGTTCAGCCTCTGTCCTCAAAATCTCTTTTTATAATCGTGTTTTTTGTGTCGAATGGGGAAACATTAAGTTTTTTCTGTAAGGATCAGTTGAATAGGTGAAGTCAAAATTGTTACAAATTCATTTAATCATCATCAATGTAGAATTTAAACTCTGTCGTATTATCTGTTTAACAATTTAATAACACATCTTGTAAGTTGATTCGTGATTTTCATACGCTACAACATTTGATTTATAAACTGGATACTATACTCTGTCGTCTATTCAGAAAACAGGAGTAGCACATGCAGCCCAATTATTTATACTTACTTTTATTACATCCAGTTTTATACTATGTCTAGTAAGGTAATTAATTAATGGATTGTCACACGGTATTACTTTTTCTAAAAACGTTTTTAGATATTAACTGAAGTCTTCAGTGATTTAATATCAGTCTTTTAAAATAATCTAGACTCTCTGGGACCACGCTAATAGTTACTCAACGTGAAATAAAAAAGAACCAAATTAATTCCTCCGTTACTTAAAGTTCCAAACGATTATAAGAACATTTATCTGTGTTTACTGTGGTTACTTTCATTTCGAGTCTGGTTAATTTTTGATTTCATGTAGTTATTAGTCTGTGTACTTTATATTTTCTTGATTGTCAACATACCTTTAACACTTAGTCTTTAATTAAAATATATTTATAATTTTATCTTTTGTTTTGTATGGATGTGAAACTTGGTATCTTTCATTAAGGTAAGAATGTAGATTAAAGATGTTTAGAACATGTTACTATTGATAATTTGAAACCGGGTCAAAGAATGTGTCAGGAAAATATAAAAATTAACATGATTCTCGCTCTTTACGAATATTATAATAATCAAATTAATGGGGAGTATATGGGGAACACACTTAGAAATCATGGAATATTAATAAAACGTAGTAGCCTTATAGCTAAATTTTCTCTGTCCTTTTCCATCAATGACAGTTTCTGTAGTGTACGTGTTAAAGCATTTAGGTATTACCACATTTGCTAAAACTGTATTGAATAACACTAAGAAGTGATTTATCTTAAGTTATGCTACCATCTACGTCCCTACATTACGTTTTGTGGGCAAAGATGGCGGATGCGGCCGGTAAAGCGGTTAGACGCCGGTTTCTTAGCACGGAGGCCCAAATCAGTCCATGTGGGATTTGTGGTGGACGAACTGGCACTGGGACAGGTTTTCCTCCTAGATCTTCGATTTTACCCTCTCTGTAGCATCCAACCGCTACTCCATATTCACTTATGTATCGTCTGGGTGATGGGTAAGGGCCCATTAGCTACTCCGCGGTTCCACAGAGACATAGTTTTACCTTTTCGCAACAATAACGTTAGTATGGTGCCTGCTGTTTGAGATCTTTTTTATATAAATTAAGGAGAAAGATGTTTCCAAGTAGACGCCTTGCAATGTCATCAGATTCATACTTGAGACAGGTTAATTCAGGCGATTATGAAAATAAGATCAATTTGTCCGCCAATAATGATGATGGAAAAATAGAGATTATTGTGCGCACGTAGTCTTAAATATTATTCCAAAAGGCATAAAGTCCTTGACAGCAATGGTTTCAACAACACATCTTAAAATTAACCCATCAGGTCCAAAACACCTTAACAACAAATGCCACCAACGAACGTTGCTTATTTTATAGCTAGATGACGTATGTTAGTTCAACCGGAATTTGAAATATGGTCTCCGTTAAAGTAAAGCCGACTCCTGTCGTCGTGCTGTTCAACCAAAAACTGAAATTTCCGGTCTCAGTTTTCCTCAGGAATACCTGTCGGTGTTCTTGTGTTTTGTCTGTAAGTAGAGACATGGCGGTTATACCGAGTGCCGGATAGGTATCGTAAAATATAAAAAAAAACTATAGAAGAAGATAAGATAAGGAAGAAAGAAAGAAAGAAAGAGGGAGATAAAAAGAAAGAAAAATGAAAGTAATCTTAATGCTTGTCGACCTTGGGCCGCTTTCACGTCAGACGAAGTGCTGTGCTGTGCTGTACCCATCATGGAGATTAGCTCGCCTACTTGAGAGGTGATATCCTCTCACTTTGAGAGCGTAATGATGCAACGTCCTGTAATGGGGACCCTGTTAACTGAAATTGTCTTCTCGTTTCACTTAATTGTGGGCATTTCAAGATACGTATCCGCCTAAATAAGCCACTTTATGTGAATGATTGGAGTAGGGATTCAATACTGAGCCATTCTCACTTCATTACATGAATATTCCTGATTTTATTAACTGAGGTGTCACACGGTTAAAGGCGTGGGTCTTGGCAGGTCGAACACTGGGATGCTGAGTTCAGGTCTTGCTGTGGGCATTTTCTGTGTTGGTAGAGATCCTGTGACGTGCCTAGCCATTTCGGTGGAGTCCTGCCAAATGTAGGACATTTTCCAAAAATCTGTCAAAAAGTTTTCAGAATGTTCACGGCGTCTGTGGGCTGTAGCCTCTGTGAAGGGTAAAGTGGTATTTAAATTCAGGCGAAGTTTTTAATAATCATATTTGCGTGCCTTGTCGTGCATTTTAGGGGGAAAAAGTCATACAAAACAGTCCTGACAATTTAATTTTCAGTTTGTACTAAATGAAATGCATGTCTTCGTGATTGGTTAAACGAAATTATGACATGCTGGGCAGCTCCTATATCTTGACCTACATATTCGCCTGCGGCTTACTTATCGTCCTGACAAAGAAGGCAGTAAGTACCTCTGAAACATCTAAAATTCTGCCAGAACACAAGACGCAACATCCCAGAAGATGATGAGGAAAGGTATTTTGGGTGGGTGGTCGGGGCTTAATATGAAACCAGAGAACGAATCCTTCCAGCCCTCTGTGCCTGTAATCCTTATAAATAACTTTCGGACTGTCTTCAACATAATTGCATCAGGGTCAAAAGTATAGAGCACTGTCCTCTGTCGGCAGAAATCACAAACATCGTTCAGTCATTTCGACATTAAAAGTATTCGGCCATCTCTCTGACGTGTTTACTTAGTGAATGTGCTTTGTAACAACGAATGAACAGATAGCAGCAGTGGATCGAGCGGGAGTCCAACCCACAGCCCTGGGAATCCGAAGCAACATCGTACAAGTGCTTAAATTATTTTGTTCCGTGTGTCCGTCTGTGCGGTAAAACAGCGCTGAATGAACATGCAGCCTCTCACAGGGGCAATGCTGTTAAGGGCATGACGACTTTGTGTTGCGTGATTAATGGATTCTCACAAATAATTGACTCCATAACACATCATGTTTCCTGATAGGTGCTCAGATGCAAGAAATTAAGTTATTTTATAGAATCAGAAGATACATCACCGTATATACAAAAGTAAACCATTAGAACATATCTAGAGCCAGTTCCATTCGTACCCTATTTCTCTATTATCAATTAGAGTACAAGAATTATACTCCCATGTACGCAAGTAGTCTCTTCACGTGTGGTTTCCTAACTCAATTTCCTTTTAGTTTGAAATTTTGAAGGCGATGAAAATTTATATTGTGATCCACTAGGTTATGGCTCACACTTTATAATATCTTTTCAAAAGATATTCATTTACGACATCCCCAAGCCTGATCGTTAGAAGAAAATCTCTTTCTCCTTGTTCATTTTAACGTAAAAATATTAGGTAGGAAGTATGTATTGTGAAAGTCTTCATTATGTATTTTTCTCTTTTCTCCTGCTAGTAGGCCTACATCTCTCTTAGGTCAGAATATTCTCCTGAGTATACAGTTCTCTGTTTTACCGTCAGGGTTACGTTGCTAGTCTCTGGAAGGCAGAGCTTCGGACTAGACGAAACGCGAAGTTGAATTTGGACGGAGCTCGAACCTTCGATAAATCTGCAGTCACTTCATATTTTTTATCAAACTTTTACTCAGGTGTACAAATCGTAACCTGTGTGAGTATAGCCGAAGCATTTACGCGTCTAATTAGTAAACACGACCATTTTTGTTTCGTCAATTTACGTTCCTTGTTAAATCATCATATTGGCGTAATGTCTGACATGCGATCCGGCTCTCACAAATTTATCTCCGAATTCATTGACCAAGGACCTCCAAAGCAGCGGTAAGCTTCTACCAGACGACATGGCGGAAAATAGTACACAAAACGTTCAAGTAGAATGGATTTTGGGATTTTGTGGATGAGTGGTTTCTCAAGCGCCTCTTGTTCGGGGGATCCCGGGTTTAAATGTTAGGCCTGGAGATCGTCTATCCCGACTGACGTTTCGTGGTATTTCTCAGCCATTCCAACAAAAATCTGAGAAAATACCTTAAATTATACCAACATCACTTCCTCCCATATCCTTTACAGTCCATTATTTATGAATTATCTTGTCTTCCTACGCTGTATAGTCTGAAATTTTGA